TGAAACCATGCTCCTCTTAAGTATTTAGCTTTATAACAATGAGAGTTTCTACAGAACAATGGAATATCTCTTCACTACCAGGTAGGCTCCAGTACTTTTGTCCGCATAGGACTGGAGTGGATGTTTTTCATCCTCACTTTTTTTAACATCTGGATAGGTATGATGCGATTTGGCATGTTTGATGACAACATACTTATTACTAGAATTTTATTTTGGGACTTATGGTTAGTAATGAAAACAACTAAGCAGTAGAACTATGCTGGATATTTTCTGCTTTCGGTGCTCTGTATGTGAGAGATTTCGGGTGTTATCTCTCTTTTGGGTTGGTGCCTGACTGGGGGAGGCTTAAAATGGGTGACAACACACAGCCTTTTTATGGAAGCTTCAGGATTTAATGTAGATATACGACATGACCTGAGGTAGAGTTGAGTTGTGCAGTGTTTAAGAGGAAGAAATGAAAATGCTTAATAGTACATCTTCGTTCATATTTTTAAGACTGAATATTTGAGCTATGTTTTCCCATTTTTTGCTGGAAGTAAGAATATTGCCTGTGGAGCTATTAGGGGAGTTTGGAGTTGAAGTATTTTGGACAGTAAAACCATAGTGGGTGTTTCAAGAAAAGGTGAAGCTGAGCAGATGAGTTCAGTTCTCATTTCAATTTTTTTTCATTGAAAAAATAAAGTCCTTATTGCAACAAATCTCAGCAGCTCAGAACAGCCTATTTTCCTTATCCTGGTGTTATCAGTGTGATTGTGTTATCTTAGCTTCATTCACCTTCTTGTACCATGGATTTCCTCTCCTGAAATCCATTATTTTCTTTCTGGCTGCCTTGCACCTCATTGTGTACTCGGCTCAAATTGTACTTCTACACACTGGTGCTAGGTCTTATTTTGAACTGGTTGTCATGTCCTTAATATGGGCTGACGTACTTGATATGACTACTTGATGATATAATTACCAAGCAGAGAATTCATTCTAGCTGTAGAATAAATGCATGATGGTAGACAGCTGGATTTAATGCTTGAGGTTTTTAAAAACATGAAGATAATCCTTTCTGAGTAGGTGAACTGTTAGGAGTCCATGGCTAGTACTGTGTGAGAATAATTTAATTTCCTTTGGACAAAGGCACCCAACTCTATTCACACAGAAAATGAATAGCTTCAAAATATGGGGATGGGAGGTTTGAGGACAAGTTGATTCCTGCATAATAGGAGGAGACTGTCAATCAAATTCAATCCATGTTACTATAGGATCTTGAAATCTATGTGTAAAGTCTGTGATAAGGATATTTTGATTATTCTGTTCTATGTAATTTTTAAGCTGCTTGCCTTTAATGGTACTGTCTGTTCCTTTTTGTAAGGGTGGGGAGGTGGGGAATAGCATTTATGTGAAAACCATTACCTCCTAAATTTTACAGTGCTTCTGTAGAAATTCATCATGCCTACAACATAATCAGGCAGGGTTGTTTTTTTTTATGAAGTGCATGGAAAATGGATTGGAAGAAATTAATTTTATAGAATGGTACGTTCTGCGTAGCTTGGAGTTTGCCATGTGTTTCAAAGTGCCTTTGTTGGAAAGGAATTATTCTGTATTTAATGTTGGGGGAGGGAGCATTTTTACAGAAGTTAACTACCCATGCCTTGTGAATATTAACAGCAGAGACTGGTGGTGAGATGTGTACTGATTAAAAATCCCTCTCTAAGGAGCCCGTATACACTCGATGGCTAACTTAACTCCCTTTGTTCTGCAGATACAGGACTATCAAATATACTTGCTTTCATATACTTTGTCTTAGCTGTCATGGGTCTTTGAAGTAGTGATTTTCAGAAGTAACTTCTGAATGCCATAGGCAAGTGGGGAAAACTGCCCTCTGTTACCTTACTGCTCCTTAAGTCACTATGTTTCCTTAAAAAGAGTGTGGAGGGAAGTGTGTGCTTGCATTCAGAGTGCAGTAATGTAAGACAGTAGGCAGAGCATGCAATAGCCAAAAACCTGGAAGTATAACATGAATGTCTGTCTGTTGGAAACTTGCTGCAGGGATACAGCTATTTTATTTCTTGCAATTTGGTATCAAGCAAGTTTCACACACACACAGACACACACAGACACACACAGACACGCAAAAGGTGCAACCAAACAAACCCTGGTTCTCCTGTTGTGACTGTATACCATCCAACATGGAACACATGTCCATGTAGCTAGAAAGCATGAAATAAATACCAATAGAGTATTTGCCCAGCCACAATTACCTGATGTGCTGAGTAGAAACATCTTGAGTAAAATTAATTAAAATATCTCTGGTAGAATTTCAGCTACCCTCATTCCTTAAGATACTTGCTTTGATCTTGTCTTGTGACCAGTAGTGCCCAATCTGTACCTGATCTGACACACAAGCTGAACTTCCATTACTTTCAGGTTTACAAGAGGTCTTTCAAATAAGTATTAACAAGTTTGAATAGATCTTGCTATAATCTCACTTAACAGAAGTAGGTAGTGTCATTTTTGGCTGAATTTAACAATTTTATGTGATTTGAATATGTGCCATGTTGCACCTGTTCAGAATCAGCTGTGTATTCCAAGGAAGCAGGACCTAATAAAATGTTTCTGTTGATTTCACTTGTTCAGACTTGAATGCTCTGCTTGGCATGAAAGGAGGGCTGTTCTGTTGAGGACAGAAAGCCTCTTTATCTACTGCATAGGTTTTTTTCTTGAAGTAAGGTCTGAATGTGGGCTAGAAAACCTGTCTGGGTCAATTTGGTTCATCTAGCTGTCTATTCTTTTAGAGTAGCCTGAGAAATTACTTATAGCTCACAAGCCTGGCTACTTTATGCGGTCCCTTTCCCTCATATTTCCACGGCATTCCCAGAGTTATCTCAAGGCTGTTTAAGGGTATATCCTTGTCTAATCTTCTTGATTTACTAAAGCAGCAGTTAAAATGTACAGACTTCTTTAAAATAACACACTGTAAATGCTATAGATCTTATTTTGTCCTTTGGAAGGAAAAGTGAGATTTCAGATAGCTTCCAGAAATACTTTGTTGATATATGTGTAATTGTTTACATAAACTAGGAGGAGTTGGCCGTCAATATGAAAACGTTAACTGTCAGATTTCCATGTTACTTGTAGTGCTAGACCCTATAATGTCTCCTGGTATAGTTGCATCAGGTGACGGGCTGGAAGATGATAGTTCCATTGTGTAGACTTAAGTGTTACTGTGCAGGGAGCTAAGTGCATTTGTTGATTTTTATATTTTTTTTTAATTTTTACTATTGCCCTCTTTTTTTGATATTTGAAGTTTTGATGAAGCTTATGCCAGGAAAAAATGTGGTTGGTTACTTCTAAGTGTGAAGCTGTTTTAAGAAAGTACATAAATTTTTGCCAGTAACTCACCTAAAGCCTTGATTGGATCATGTTGTTGTCAGATGCTTGGAATCATTTGGGATGCAGCATTGAACATTCGTTGCCATCCGTCAGTCAGTGAGCAGTTTGATTATTTTCTTATAGATTTCTGTGAAAGATTCACAAAATAATGTTCATTAGAAGCAAGCTGTTGTGAGTCAGTTCCTTTTTAACTGATTTGTAAATTCACTCGTGAGGTATCTTAGCACTTGGAAACAGAAATATTTGTGATACACCTGTGTTTGTGAAAGATAAATAGCAACAATGGTTAATTAAATATCATTTATGACCCCAAGCCCTCCTAAGTTAGGAAATTGCTAAAAGCATGGGCTGTGTGTTCATCAGTTACTTCAGTGTTTGTCATGAACATGAATTAGTCTTAATATGCTGAAGAAGCAGATTCAGAAACCATGGTGTTTCTTGATGCTTTAGAAGTGTGTGTCTACAAACGCTTCCAATAAGCTGCAGATTTGATCTAAAAAAAACCCAAGCCCCAAAATACTAACTAGCATGAAATATTAAATAGAGAGGAAACTCTAAACATGGGATTTGAAGTGCTTTGTAGGGTGTAACAGTACTTTTGCTGTGGGATTAACTTTTTTGTTGAGCAAAAATTGGCGTCACTGTGCATCTTCATCGGTGACCTTGACTCCTTCCTTTCAGTGAACAGGGAGGATGAAGCAGTCAGGTATGCAGGTGATGCTCAGATTGCCTGGCTGATAAATTTCAGCCCATGAACTGTGAAAATTGAAAAGATTCTGATGTGCTTGGCTTCCTGAAAAATTTAGAAAGGAGTTGTGGTTTAAATATTATAGAATAACATTTGAGTCACTTGCAGAATGATGACACCGTGCAACTGTACTGGTTTGAGAAGGACGCCTGCAAAACTTTATACTTTGCTTACTCGCATCCCTGCTATTCCATTGCTGTATTTGCTCACTTGCTTTTTGTTTTGTTTTTTGTGAATTTAATCAAATATTAAGGAATTCAATGTATTGTGAAAACCAGACAGGTAAAATGTTGTATAGGAATGATGACAGGAACAGAATTTGAAGAATAAGGATCTGTATTTCGGCTTTTTTCAAAGCCAGCATGAATGAATGCTTGTTTTGCAAACTGGTGCTTCTTTAGACTGGGCAGCGGTTTCCGCTTCGTTGATAGAACAGTGCCATCTAGTGACTGCTCGCGTAAAGCTAGGGAGAAATTGCCAAGGGGCAGATTGCAAGGTCAGATGGTTTCACAGCTGTAAAAAGACAGCTTTGTGAAAGGTCGAGTAAGCTGAAGTCTGATCCGTTGTACCTTGAGGTGGAACCACTGCTAAAATGGTCCTTGCATGAGGCTGGGGTCGGAGGTGCTGTGAACTGCACAAGAGGAGGATGCCTTTCTTACAGAACCAGCCACAGATCTGGCACTTGCAAAATTTTTTGGCTTCAGTTAGCAATTTAATTACCATAAGATATTTGTAAATACTTTTTTTTCCCAAATGCTGCCATAATTTTTAGGTAAAGGTAACTTAGAATTTTTTTTTATTTTTTTTTTCAGTGAAAGTAAGCATTTAAACAGCGTATGCACTTTTTTTTTTCCTCTCTGTTTCATTTCAGCCTGATCACACATTGTCACCTCCGCCTGTGCCTTCTCAGAAACCCAGCAGTCCTGAAGCCTTCTCTGGTCCTGGAAAGTCTACTATATTTAAGAGACAGCTGAGTGAAGATGGGAGACAGTTCAGAAGGGGAAGCCTTGGAGGAGCTCTGACTGGTGAGTCTGGGGTGTGTAAAGTTACCAGGAGGTTTAGCAGCCGTGGAGCTGATGGCACCTTGATGCCTGGCATTTTGCCTTGTGGACAAACATTTTGGAAGAGATGTGAGCTCCAACTGGAGTTTTCGTAAAGTCTCTTCCACATGGGCCCCCTGATTGTCAGTAGAAGGAGCTCATGTTTGAAGCTCTGCTTCTGTGGGGTGCTGATAGGTGACCAAGCACCTATTTCAAGCCTGAAAATGACCCGTTTCCTGAAATTTTCAGGAATATGGCATATATTTTGCTGACTCAGTTTGGAGGCTTACTGGTTGTTTGAGATGTGCTCAGATGCATCCATCAGTGGGATCACATACATCTTATTTTCTCAAGGTGCTGAAATGCACAAATGGTCCCTCTAGACTTGAGTTCATTAAAGAAAAAAGCAGTTTGGTCTCATTTATCTGCTGGACTCCTTGCAAGGGAGGAGGGGCATTACCAGATATCCACTAGTTGTAGACTTGCAAACTCTCCATCGAACCATGTGGAGAGGTATCAGGATGTTTGAGGAGGGCTCAGGCCCTCCCTGGCATGCTAGCATCTGCGGAAAATGCCAGATGCTGAAATCACGATTGTGTCCTGGGAGCTGTATATCTGCATACATAGTGATTGATTTTGAGCATCTAGTGAAATGAATGTGAAAACATTGGGACAGTTTAACTAGCACTTAATTTCTGTATTTCAAGAAAAAGAATTTCTAAATTTGCTAGAATTCAGCAATTAAATATATTCCTGAAAAGCATAGCATCTAACAGTATGACGAACATGCTGTGAAGAAGAGGATATTAAGTTGTCTTGTGCTTTATCTGAAGGAAAGACAGCTACTACTACAGAAACTTCTTGTGTCACATCAGCACATAATCATTGCTGTGATTTTTAGTGTCACTTGGGTTAGATTTGCCATTTCCCTTGTGCCTTTATTTTTATCAAGAGTTGTATTATGAAGATTTCAGGAACAATAAAGTATTTGTGCTCTGCATGAGCTTCCATGAATGATAAGTGACTTACATCAGTCTGAAGTATAATATGGTTTCGCTAACCGTGTTGGTGAATTCTGGCTTATCTGAAGTATTGATACTCTAAAAACTGTAGATCAGACTATCAGTTTATTATTTCATCAAGAGTTGGTGTAGGTTTTTAATATTGTTTTTAACTTTAAAGTAGGGTGGTGGTCTGTAAAAATTGAACTTTCCCATATAAGCCCTCCAGATAAAGAGGAGGGAGACAGCGTAATCAAAACCAAACAAAGCAAATGTGATCTGCTGCTGTAGTCTCTGGTCTTTATCTCTACACTTGAGTTATTGCTTGAGTTCTTTATAAAGGGGAAATGGATATGCTTTTTGTCTGCTTGCAATGTGTTGTGCACAGTTTCATGTCGAGATTTGGGAATGTAGTGTGCAGTGATGTTAAACTGCTTTACGACTAATGAACTTTAAATGAACCTGAATACCCTACGGCTTTGGTATCTTAAAATAGTTTAAATATCTTAACAGCTTTCGTGATACTGATTAAATTAATCAAAGTCATTGTGGTGGCAGAAAGTTGTTAATATTCTTTTGGGACTTAAAAAAATCATTTTAAAGAACTGCTGCAGATGGAGAACTATTTCCTAGAATTGTTTCTAAATGCCCAGTAATCTGAATTTAATAATTTCAGTGTTACCTTAGACTTGTATTTACATATCTTTTTTTGCGTACTGAAAGTTGGTGTTTTGGTTTGTGGTTTTGTGGGGTTTATTAAATGCTGAAGAATGGCTCATGGTTCTGGTTTGGAACTACATCAATAACAATATCATTAAAAAAAAAGAAAAAGGAGAGGAGGATGAGAAGGCCCTCCATTCAAGAGTGAGCTGTTGTGTCAGCGCACACATCCTGTCCGTATTTTCTGTTTGAGTCTTAATATTTCTGGAAAGATAGTCACGGTCCATAAGGTAAAAAATAAAAAATATAATTTGGAAAAGTTCACTTTTTTATCACTTTACACTGATTACTGTCTTCTTTTATCCTTTTGTCTTGTTGCTTTTGATACTCTTAAATTAAGTCGTAGCTTAATAGTGGGTATCAGTCAATTGGAAGATTGTTCAGAAAGGTATTCTTTGACAATTCAGTAGCTTAGACAGTTCAGAAATTGTCTAAGGTATGGTCTCTACCCTTGTTGTTCAAAAATGTTACCTTTGCTAACCTCCTACAACTACATTAAGTGAGAGTAAGTAAAGCAAGAGAAGACTACTAGCTTACAAATTTGCAGGGTATTCCTATGCTGATGCTTGATGCTCTCTCCAAATGTTAGAAAATAAGTGAATTGTGCTTTGTATGTTACTTTGACTTTGCTGTTAAAAACACTATTATTGAGCCATAGAATGTAAGTAGTATTAATGATAAAACAAAAATAAAGATTTTATTTGTTTATATAAAAAAGAATAGCTCAAATCCTACAGGGCTGAATACTAATAGAGGTAAATAGATAGGGTTTTTATCTCTGGGAATAGATCCCAAATAAATGAGTTTATTGGGCTTTATAAGGAGTAATGTTATGCATGACATATGAGAAGAAATAAAATCTATACTGTTGCAATATTGTGAATGAGACTTGTAAAACCTGAAGGATTATGGTTACTGAGAACCTGCTACTTTGAACTGGCTACAATAAATTACAAAACTCTCAACATAGGAATTTGAGAAAATTGAAATACATTGATGTACAAGGTCTTTCCAGTGGGAAAACAAGACAAGGGAGAGGAAGTTTGGAAACTTGGAAAGGCAGGATAGAAAGTGGAGTTGTATTCTACATGGCTTCAGGGAAACTGGAACCCAGTTGTTTTGTTTTTTTTCCCGAATTGCCCAGTTTTAAGTAATCTTGCAAACACTTTCCCAGTGACAAGCTAAGAATGCCTTTTTTTTTTGAGTTGAAGAAAGCTAAATCCATGTTTTTGAGAATAAATCTGCTGTTGCTTCCCTGAAAATCACTAGGGAACCACTGGTACTAAATAAAGTTTGGCCAGTAAACAAAATGAAGACTTTTTCCTGGAGACACTATGCAATTATGTTCTGGAAAAGACACTATAACCTAATGGTTGTGACAGTGTTGCTTTCTCTAATCTTCATCCCCAGGGATGGGAGGAGGAGCAATGAGAAAGAGAGACTGATTTTGGAACGAAAAGACCTTATTGAATGTAGCCTGGTATTGGTCTAGCAAATCTACTTTAATAATTTGTGTTGTGATGTGCTAGCAGTACTGCTTAGCGGAAGAGAGGATGAAAAATAATATTTAATAATGGTGGTGGCTAAACATAAAACAACTTCAGAGTACAAGTATTTGAAAATATTTATGACCAGTTCCTCTTTTAATTTAAAATGTTGTATTTCCAAAGGATTATAGTGTTTTGGGTAGCATGAACACTTAACACAATAGTGTTTGCCTTTTTCCTCTTCTGCTGCTCCTTCCATACTTCAGCTTTCCCCTTCCTTACGTGCACTTGTTCCCATAACAGCGCTTGTGACATCCTTTAAGTGGGAAGAAAACTGGAGTGTTAAGAGTTCTGCCTTTGTCTGAGCTGATGTAACACACAATCCTCGCACAGTTTGTTCAACTGTGGAATAAGCTCTGTTGCAAAGCTGAGCTGTAGTTACTTATCTAATAGACCTAGGTCAAATGGAGAAGGAAAAGTTCATTGCTTCAGAAGGATGCTGGTGCACCCTGGGTGCCATGGGCACTGGGGCAGTGCTGGACAGCTTTGTCAGGTGAGATCAGCTCTGTTCTTCTTGGGACAATAGACCTCTGTGAATACACATGTATTTAAATGCCTACCCTCCAGCCTTAGGTTGCCTTCTTAAGGATTCCTAACACTGCACAGACTGGGGCTTCAAAACTTGTTTCTAATCAAGAGAAAAGATGTTTAATTAAAAAGCTGCTTTTCTGCGGTGGCTGGTTTTCTTCATCTCTACAAACTTCAAAGAGCTGTCTATAGTCAGGGTTTTTGGCTTAAATTGTCTACATATTTTAGTTTACTGTGTTCAGAGATGCTTTAATAGAATTCATGGCAGAAGGTAATGTGAAAGGCTGAGAAATTAAGTGAGCTTTTACTGTGGAGGGGGTTAACCTGCAAATCACTTGAACAAGCAAATCAAATTGACCTTGCTTTCATGTCCCATTGCTGCTCCTCAGTTTGCACTGCAGTGTGCAGTGTAGCTCTGTTCAGTCTCCTCATTTCATCTGGTGCAGCATTTGGAGATTGCTATCTACCTTTTTACTTCTGAAAGGTACAAGAGCTTATTGCTGTGAAGAGTTTGTATTTTGCAGAACACTGCAGCTAACTCAGTTGTCTCTGTCCTGTTAAGCTCTGCAGTTAGATACATAAAACAAAAAAACAAACCCAAACCACTTTTTTACCTATAGTTTGAACCTCTTCTCTTGCCTCCAGTTATCTAATCAATAACTGCCTGGAAGCAGACTTCCTGCTGGGCTAATCATTGCTAGTTGTAGTAGGGCTGTTATCTTGCTAACCTTAAATTGATCTTACGCAAATACTGGTGACCGTAACACTTACAGACTTCATTTTATAGAATCTTTAATCCAAAGATCCTAAAGCACTTTACATTAATGAAGTGGTCAAGTAGATTTAGATATAGTGAAGAGCTAAAAACTGAGAAATCTTGGGATGTATATATTTATATATTTTTTTCTTCTTTAATATTCCTGCTTTGATGCGCTTTCTACCACCGAGTCATCAGTCATCCAGATATGCTCAGCAATTATTGTTATTCCCATATAACTAATCTGTGGTTGATTTGAAATGGATTTAGGGATCCTCAGTCTGTTTTTTTGCATCAGAGATTCATCACTCTACTAGCACTAATTAGCAGGAAGATGAACAACTTTATGGGACATGAAGAGCAAGCTGTTCTCTTACCCATGGGTAGGCATGTGCTGGCAGGACTTGGAAAGGGAAGTTTTCTTTGCTTATA